TCGTGTAAAATATATTCATACGCATAAATGCCGATACTGTTGGCTACTTTTCTTTTATTTACAAAACAGGCTGTAGAATTATTTGGCAATATTGTCCATTCATCACAATCCCTATTGTCTCGAGTAGCGTATAATGCGCGCAGAAATTGCGCCAGCGCACGCCGAGCTTGAGGTATCCTCGCTCGCGTGCCTTTGAATATCGCAACCGCGGTTATCAATATACGCGTTTTTACCCGCGCTGCTAACAAAGGAAGCTTAAATTCTAATTGCGCCAAAGTATCGCGAACGTAAGCTTCTTCGTGACGGGACTATCATGCGTGAAAACCTTGCCCCGCTCTCTCTCTCTCTCTCTCTCTTTGCGCTTCCTCGGGATGACCGGTTCTGATTGTCTAATCTTTCCTCGTGCATTCGCGAATATTTCACTCGTAGATATCGATACTCCCGCATTTTCGCGACTTTTCAGGTGCGATCGCGAAAAGTGCCGTAAAAATCCGTCGGACGAGTCGATAAATTTTCACACGGTTACTCCTAGCCGATCGAGTTTATTTAGAGTCCGTTTCGCAGCGCGTAAAAAATTTCCACCGATGTCGACGTGAAACGTTCGTTAATTGACGCAAATATCGCCGCTCTAATACAAGTATCGACCGCGTCGCGAAAGTGTAGCAATCAACGTGGGACGCAAGATGGATGCGCTGCAAGATGGATGCTGCACGACATGGAGAGCGGCAGCAGACATGGACGGACATTGGTGGGTCTGGTGGGTTGGATGCAACGGGACATCATCGATATCATCATCGGTGAGCGTTTGACTCAATGCTCGCAGAGAGCTTTTATTATTACATTGTGCATGCCGCAAATTTGCATTGACTTTTGTAACGAAAAATATATTTCATGAATTATTGCCATATATTATGGCCATATATTATTGCCATATATTGTTGCCATATATTGTTGCCATATATTGTTGCCGTATATTATTGCCATGTATTATTACCACACATTGCCATGCATTATCGCCATATTATGGCCACTTGAAATCGCGCGAGCAATCGAGAAAACTGAATTTACCGGTAATCGCAAAGGCGCGCGGTAGACGTCACAGATGGATGCCAGCAGCCCGTCTCAGAGCTGCCCGATAACAATACTCTTGTTGTAATTTAACTTTAAACCACAGCGGTCTCCGGTCGCAGGAAACTTTCTATCGCGGACTAACCCTTCGAGCGGAATATTCCCGAGAAGCGCTCTTGAGATAAGCGCTAGTTATAAGCGAACTTGCCTCGTTAGGGCCCCGTCGCGGTATCGTTGTCGCGGAAAATAAAGAAGAAAGGAGCTAAACATCCGACACCGTTGTGAAAAAAGGGATGATGGCGTCCCTTCGCGAGTAGAATGTTAGGCCCTTGCGAACGCGAGCGTTAAATCTTCCACCGCGGCTGCGAACGTTCGCCGACTATAGTTTCTTCGCGGAAACTGAATCTTCATAACTCGCTTGATCGTGCGTTGAGATTCTATCGAGGGTGGGAAATTGAAGCGGACGTTGATGATATAAGCATGAAGAAGTAATCGCGCGTTTTATGATCGCTCCTTAAAATGGGCGCTTCTTTCGTTGGTAATAAAGACGAGAAGAAATTAAAGTCTGCTGCCGGTGAGATCGTAAAAACCGCATAGATTTTCCTTCCATAGCTGCTCCCGCGGCTGTTTAATCCTCATTACGATCATTTTTGAGGATAAGCATGGGGAAAGTGACATTCGCGGGTAACCTTTGTTCTCTGAACGACACGTAAAGTTTTCCAGCTCTTTTACGCAAGTTCGTCGCTCGTGCTTAATAACAATTGTCCCGAGACGTGCCTACGAGAAATGTTGCACGTGAAGAATACTCAGCGCACGTACTATCTTGAAATGAAATACCGCGAAAGAAACTATTCTCGTTCCTCCAACTTGCGCTTTACAAGTTTCGGGATCCATGAAAATCTCGAGATCAGATACTGCTTGTTTGAGGGAGGTTTTTAGACATTCTCTGTGAGAACCTGAAGAGCGAGTATCGACTTTTTTCGAAAGATTCGAGATGCAAATCCAAATGTGTTATTTATACGCATACGAGCGTGCGATTGGCTGAGGCTTTTTTTGCGGGCGAGTTTTGTTTTTTCAAATCTCGCAAGAATCGTGTGAAGAAAGTTTGAGCTAATTACACGCTCACGCGTGTGAAAACAACACACTCGAATTTGCAGCGACGACATAGCGGGGATATTTAGCAAGTACTACCTTGAAACTTCCGATTAGATTATATTTCTCGTCAGCCGTCGTTCTGTCGCCTAGCCCCGTCTCTTTCGTCCGGGTGCCTCACCGTTACTCGTGTTTTACTTCGCCGGCGGCTTGTCCTTCTTCTTCTTCTTCTTCTTCTTGCACGCTGCCGTTAGATCATGTGGGTCGCGCTTGGCTGCAGCAGCTTCGTTGCTTTTTCGATACCATCTTGGCACGTGCTCATTCGTTACATTTCTATAATTAATAGCTCGATTGTTGCGTACATCGCAAAATGGTGTGGGAATTTTATATTTATCTTAATCCGTTCTATGTCTTCGTAAATTCCTAGGAGCGAGGAATTTGTGAAATACTCTATATATATGTTTCCGATTGCAATTTTAGTATTATTTCAACTTCGAATTATTAACTTAAGGAATGCCAACGTGTGTATATATTTATAAACTAAAAATTATTCTAAATTTTCTCACGTCCCGCAATTCTAAGAGACATACATATACATATTCGGCCTGTTTTCTGTATTAATAGTCTTTGATATCTTCCGATACCTTTTTCCTATTATTTAATACCTGTTATCATCCATGCTTATTTCGAGCTATGTTTTATATTTCGGCCACGATATTCCTAAGAGTGCACATAGTGAAATTTCTCTGGTACGCTAAATCCCGTAAGGCCATCAGTCTTTGTAGTATATCTCGTCGGTGCATAAGGTTTATATTACCTGTACATACATATTTTGAAACATTTCCTTTGGATATTATATCAACCGGGTTTTGCGTGTCACGTAATATCCTTCGGACTACACGGACATTATTATTTTGATCATTTTAATTTCTTTGATATTCATTAAGAATTATCTAGAACGCAACTGCTATATTGAACAACTCAATTGTCGTGTGAAATGTTTCGATTTTCATAAATTCATATAAAATTTTTCATTTTTCATTAATTCACAGAAGTCTTTCACTTTTCACTAGTTCACGCTAGGGAAAAGATTCATGATTCTGCCCTGAGCAGCTGCAAAGCTTCTCCAATCATTTATGTCGACGCGCTCTTACTCCTCAGATTTCTGTCATTAATAGTTCGATAATTTTTGCGAATCTCGCAGAACGGTATGGGACTTTTATGTTTGTCTCAATCCAATCTACCTTCACACTTCGGGTTGGCAGCTAATTACCGGACACTTTGTATGATCTTCATGATATTAATCATATACAAGTCAATTCTTCTTTTTTGTACATGTTAACATGTTAATTCATGTTATAAACGCGTAACAATGTGTGAGACCGTGCTTGTCAAGTACGCTATTATGGTTGTAGCATGGACATAAACCGCCTGAAAGTGGATGTAGCACGAACTGCCACCACATACAGGTTTTACCGCCGAAACCTGAAAGTGGATGAAGTAACGTAGTTCCCCACTTAAAATGGATACAGATGGCGCCCTTTTCCAGTGCGGAAAGTCGGTGTCGCCGAAAACGCCGTGTTGGCCGCTTTTATGTTCCTCTCTGGTGTGCATACACGCACCACATACACACATACACAAACACATATACACACACACTATGAGGATTTACATCAAGCAAGGCATGCGACAGATAACCCCTCTAGTGGAGAAGTTAATCCTTCATCAAAAAATTGTTCTCTCATTGGATATTGTCGTATGTTGAATGCCTTGCCTGGTGTGAATCTTTAAGTACTCTATTTTGTGGATAAATAAGAGTTCTAGTATTGCGAGACCCGTTATTGAAGTCATTGCAAATTAATTTCAAAGTGTCCGCTGCGAACCGCTACTTTTCTTAACGAAGAATTGAAATTGTCAATCGATCAATTATGTCTCAATAATAAGCTTGTGGAACTTTATATATTTTTCAATATAAAATAAAAATAAGTCTGACCCACTGAATAGTACTACTTTAAAAAGAAAATCTGTCTAAATATCGTATGCGATTTTTCATGAATATCATTAGGCATCACGATTCTCAGCCAATTAAATCGCCCCATTGGTGAAATGTATTTATTTTTCACAAATTTTCGAAAATAAGGGCCTTGAAGCTATGTTTCGATATACATTGAGCCAGCACTGAGAATCTATAGTATATATGATGCAAACTATATATTTTCAGTACTGACAGTAAATATCAGAACACAGTCTGATGGTTTGTTCTTTTTAGCTACGCTGCTGAACTGGTGCAATAAGTTAGAGTGAAATAACTATTTCTCACTCTATCTATCTAAAGGTCATTCTACAATACGTGTCATAAGTTGTAAGCCGTAAGAATTGGCGAATCACAGTCGATTATTACAAAAATAATCGGCTATAATTGGTCAGTTCTTACGGCTTACAACTTACGACACGTATTGTAGAATGACCTTAAAGGCCATTGCACGTAAAAAAATTTTAGTCGTAACCGTAAGACCGTAAACAAATTGACCAATCACAATCCAGCATCTCGAAATATACGAATTGTGATTGGTCAATTTGCTTACGGACTTACGGTTACAACTAAAACTTTTGTACGTGCAATGGCCTTAAAGCTTATGGCACACGATATTTGTTCTCGTGCTGTATTTAGTGAAGTCCAATTACATATTAGAAATACTAAGTTCTAATTGGTGCATATATTACCAGATGTTGCTAGATCTTGCCAGATCTTGCTAGATTCAACACAAAACAAGCACCATATGCCGTTGGCTTTACCTATTGCACCAGTTCAGTAGTGCAGTTAAAAAGAACAGACCCTGAGTGTAAGCGCCATATACTAGCGAGAACCAGTACTAGAGTGTGTTGTGTCGAAGAAGAGAGAATTTTAAGGTTTTTTCTTTTTTTTTACAAAACAGTCAGTAAAAACATTCTTTGGTCAAGATGACGATGGCAATGTTGCAACGCCGTGCCAATGTGAGTGTAGAAAAATATTGCACTATTAAGTTATGAGCCAAAATTAATATGTCCTAACCTTACTTAACCTAACCATTTGATCTATATTTGTTGATTTCTCACATAAATTGGATCTTTCTTTTGAAGGTGAGGCTGCCACCGGAAGTAAATAGGGTATTATATATCAGAAATTTGCCATACAAAATTACAGCTGAAGAAATGTATGATATATTTGGCAAGTATGGAGCTATCAGGCAAATTAGGGTGTATGTAATATATTGTAGTCAATACAGTTGAATAAAATAAATTTTCCATAGCAGATTTATTCCACAAATTTGGTTATCATTCCAGGGGTAATACAGCTGAAACAAGAGGCACAGCATTTGTCGTGTACGAGGATATATTTGATGCAAAGAATGCATGTGATCACTTGAGTGGTTTCAATGTATGTAATCGGTATTTGGTAGTTTTGTACTATCAAAGTAATAAGGCATTTAAGAGGATTGATGTTGATAAAAAGATGGAGGATCTGGACAAACTGAAGACAAAGTTTAACCTGAACGATGAGAAAAAATAATCATTTAGCTATTTGTAAGATAAAATATGAGATATAAAGGATATATTTATTAAGATATATAACACATTTATACATATAGATAATTTACATTTTACATATAAGAAAAAATGAGATAAATGAGATAGGTTAAAAGTAGTGCATCTGATTTCAATATGGTTTGTACACTTTCTTCAATTCAGATCAGAATGCAACTGATGTCCATTAGGAGGATTTATATATTTTTTAAAAATAAGTTCTATTGGACATCAGTCATTTCAAATTGTGCTGAGAAATATTCAAGCTGTATTGAGACCAAATATACAAGTACTATTAGTATTAAATTATTACTAGTAATATCGATAGTAGTTATTTCTAAGTTATTACTAGTATTATGTTATTTCTATCTTTAAATAATACAATGAAAGATCACACGACAAATAAACACAACTGTACATAGTTTTAACAATCTCAGGACATATTTTCTATTTGCTTTTTATTCCATATTAGCTGAGATCTTGTATAGTTAGGCGGATATCACTTCTCATCCGACGAAATTAAAACGATAACGCACACTTTACGCTTTATTTTATTAGTTCGACCTTCGGCTCGGTGTTAGGATTTACTGATTTCGAGTTCGATTTAACACACCGGTCAATGTTAAATCCAACGTCGAGCGTATTTTCGCGCGGGACACGATTGCTTCGTGTTCCCCTCCTGTAAAGAAACAAAAAAAGCAGGACGAAAAAATGTCGACGCATTAAAAGGCTGTAATTAATACCACTTTCACAGTTGGTCGCGGAGTGGCATTCCTTCGCTTCCACGGGCTCGGGATGATAGCTATAGTGTTGTCTAAAGCGCCTCTCACACCGTTCGCGTGCAGGTGTCGTACAGTTAAGCGGTAGAGCGGTTTCTGAAAAAAATTTCAGCGACGTTACATCTGTTGATCTCAATTGATATTTTTGCTTTCCCTGCTAATCACACAACTAACATTTTATAATTAATTATTTCATAGTCGACGACGGTGGTTATCGGCTTTAAGTCTTTTCGCTCTTAAATTCGCAAACTCACAAAATTTCGCATTGCGATGAGGTGTTCTCAATGAGAAAAAGGTGGCGCGCATCTTTACCGAGGAATGTTTCTGTCATGCTAACGAGAGTTACTAAATGTCAAATGTGCAAAAGTAGCAATTTACATGCTTTTTCCATCCATAGGCGCGTCGAATTTTGTAATAGATAGTTATTAGACGATTTATTTGGATCTCGACTTGGAACATAATTCCTTGTGCAAATTGCAAAATTCCGACTCTCCGCATGCTTGTAATTATTAATTTTTCATTTTCCGGCAAACGTTAATTTTCCCTTTGCGATTTCTCGAATTTAATTTTCCGACTCGAGCTTCCTCCAAGTTCTCCCCTTACGCTTTCTCATTTACTCATAGGAGACACCGCGATTACGGCGACACACGTGATCTTTGTCGATACACATTCACGCCGCACCTGTCATTGATAAGTGACACGTGCGTAACTTAATCTCTACACGCGGTCTCACGTGCACATCCGCGTTTTGTAAGTCGAGTTCGCGTATACCATTGCATATCGGCCACGTTTCTTTCTTCCCTCTCTTTCCTCTTTCGAACGCTGTAAACTACCAGCGACATCAAAAGCAGGAAAAAGAAAAAGAACAGAAAAAAAAACGTCTCATATCGCTTCTTATATCGCGCGACATTCATCTAACGATTGTCTAATCTAATTAAATCGATAAGCGGAAGAGGCGGATCAACGTAACCCTCGAAATTTCCGAAAACGGCTCACGCATTCGACACCGATAACGCTTGTCCGCGCGCGATACGCGAGCGAAATTGCTGAGGATAATTCATCCTTTTTCGCTGTCTGACCCGCTCCGTAGGAGAAGAGCTCCGCGCGTCATCGCGCTCGCGCGATATCAATCGCAGGCAGGGCCGCGGCGCGGCCGCGGCGCAGCGGTGTGTCGCGCGAGACGCGCGCGTGTGTGTGTGTGTGCGTGCACGCACGCACGCACGCGTGCGCCCACCGACGCACCCACACGCGGCCTCGCGGCCAGGCGGGCGGTCTAGCCCATTCGATTTCAGTCGAAAGCGAAAACCCGCTTGGCGTTCACTGTCGAGCGTCGCTCGCTCGCTCGCTCGCTCGCACGTCCATTCACTCGCTCTCTCGCTCGCGCTCGTTCGTTCGCTCGCGAGACGTCTCGCGAGCGTGTCTCCGCCGCCGTCTCCTCCACCACCTCCGCGCGCGCTGCACGTCGTCCTCGCCCCCTCGCCGACGTCCGGAGCCCGGCGGGTCGGGTCGGCTCGGCTCGGGTCAGCAGCAGCGCGGCGCAATTCGCGTCCTGTGAACGTCAGCGACTCGCGGCAGCCGTCACATGTCGTACGACTGCTGCGGCAACGACGGCCGCGTCGCCGGCGACTCGTTCGTCGCCGCCCTGCGCAGCGCGCGTCGCCTCGCTCGCGAGAGCCTGCACGGCCTCCTGGTGCTGGTCGATCCGGAGCGTCGCTCGTGCCTGTCGCGCGACCTGCTCGCCGTCACCGTCGCCGTCGGCCTGCCGCTGCTGCTGCTGTTGCTGATCATCGCCACAGGCCGCTTACCACGTCGCGCCGAAAGTCACTAGATCGTCACGGGCAACGGGCCGGGCAGCCGCCCGGCGACGATGACTACTGTCGCACAGCGCGGGGCGCTCGGTTGGGTTGTCACACGGCTGCCGGCAGATAATGCGGCCGTCGCGGGGGGTCGCGAGCTTTAAACCGCGCTCGGGGCGTTATCGTGCGGACGGTACGGGCGCGTCGATACCCGGGACATTGGAGAACGAGAAATGCGGCACGTTCAAGGACACCGACGCGTTGCTCGCGGACGGACTCACGTTGCGCTCTACAAAGTCACTAGAGCGTGTCGCGACGGAGCGCGCTCGCCGGCGCGACCCGGTAATCGCCGATTTCACAGTGGCGTGCGAGTTACTCTTGTCTCTCCCTCTCTCCCTCCCCTTCTCTCTCTCTCTCTCTCTCTCTCTCTCTCTCTCGTAAATAAATGTTTCTATGAATGACGTGCAGTTGCATGTTTCTATTTCGACCTGCTGCGTACCAAGCGCTCGCGTTGCCCTGCCCGTCTGTTCGACGCGTCGCATCCGAGCAAATTGTCAACGAACATTCTCATCATTCTCGTTCGCCCGATCGCTCTCCCGAAGTCGAGCGCGAATCGGCTAGCGAGCTCTGAGCGATTTTCCTCCACGTTCGCGCAGTTCGCGCAGAGACCTTATCGACGTTCGCGAGCCTCGCTAGTCCTCGCTTCGGTCCGTCGGCTCAGCGGTTTCTGTTTCCCGCTGTATCTCTGTTTCGCGATCATAACGCGCGTACATATTCGCGATTACGACGTAACGATTCGCGTTACGCGCGCGCAAGTGTCATGCGCGCGGGGGCCTGGCGGCGCGTCGCTTGGAAACACGCGGTGTAAGCATCGGGGCTCCCTTCGGCCGAGCATCGACTAGCGCGATTCAAACGTCGCCGCCACGCTCGTCGTCATCGTCGTCGTCGTCGTCGCCGCTGCCGCCGCCGCCACCACAGCCGCAGCTGCCGCCGCGGTTCACGGGGGGGCGCAAGGTGGCGAGCGGGTAACACAGCGCGCGCGGCCGATTCCAGCGCTGCCGCGCGGTTTTATTGGCGAATCGCGCGGCCGCGGGATCACGTGAACGCGCGCTGACTTCAGTTCGAACGCGCGCGCGGCTATGTGCGTCGCGTCGGCCGCCGTGAAATCCCGTCGAGCGCGAATCGCAGTGGGCTGCACCACGTCCGCGTCGTCCTCCTCGTCGTCGTCCCCGGCCCCGTCGCGCCCGTCGTCGTGGACGTCGTGCGGTTGGCAGAGGCAGCAGTGTGAATGAAGCAACGGCCGACGCTGGGGAGATGCGACGTCGCTCAGCATGTCGCAACGGCCCGTCGCTCCTCGTCCACTCGTCGGTTCGTGTCAAGGTATTTATGTGTGTGTGTGTGTGTATGTGTGTGTGTGTGCATGTCATGTGAACAAGTTCGTTCGTCCTCGCGAATTCGTCGAACCGTTCGCGAAATCGCAGTTCACCGACGGCATAGCTGCGAACGGGCTGCATTGTGTGTCCCTCGCGATTTATCTCGCGATACACCGTCCATTCCGTGGGCGCCTACATCTTGGCGCCATCTTGGCGCCAACGGACTTTATGAACTTGTTCATTCGTGTCGCTTCATTCGAATTCGCCGACGCGATGTTTCGCTTCAGAGGCGTTTTTTGTTCATTCGACTTTTTATTTATGTCTGTATTTTGTCGTGTATGCTATACATGTATTCAATACATGCATATATATGTATATATATATATATATATATATTATATATTAGAGATGTGTGAATCAAGAATTTTTATGTCGAATTGAATCGAATCGAATCTCATTTTTTAAATTCGAATTCGAATCGAATCGAATAAAATCGAATCGAATCATTAAAAAATTTAACATGACTATTAAATATGTAAATAATGATGGAAGATTTTAATATGAAAGGAAATATTGTAGTATCATTTTAAAGTAAAATATATATTTAAATATTTAAAGTAATTTATATTTAAGTTATTAATTATAAGTTAAGTTAATTACAAGTTAAGGGTTCAGACATACAAGCCCAGATGGCCCGTTTTGTACCTGATGCATGCAAACGATAATGTATTTGATTCCTATTCGAATTATTCGGATTCGAATTATAGGGATTCAGATTCGAATCGAATCGAATTGCATTAGATTCGATTCGATTCGATTCGAATTCGAATAGTTCGCACATCTCTAATATATATATATATATATATGCGTGCGTCTGTGTGTAATATTTTATTATATTGTATAAAATACCTCGTATTGTGTGCGAATTTGCGACACACGCAGAATAATATTATTTAATGCTGCCTCACGTTAGAAAAAAAAAAATCGCGATCAAGGTATCTCGTGATCAGTTATCGACGTACGTCTGGCAATCGGTTCTCGTGTCGGTTAACTGATGTCGGGCAGGTGATCGTTAGTTGAGGTAACTGCAGCTAGAAGGAATGCAGTTAGAAGCCGGGGTATTGTCGCTTGATTATCCTCCACGTATGAATAAACCCGTCACACTCGTTACCGAGTCTCCTCGTCGATCACTAGATAGTATCACTTAAATAATTGTGAAAATTACCTAGCATTTCCCGTCGTAAAGTTCGCTCTTTATATTTGGGGAATCGCGAGTCGAGGTGTTATTAATTGCAGCTGTAAAACCATCGGTTTGCTTGTGCTTAACCGAGATCAATGTGTGTGTGTGTGTCGGGCAAGGAGGAAGGGGAGGGGGGTCGTTTATATGAATTGTTTGGCATCGTAAAAACATCGGTATGATGCGTGTTCCAACGTCGATCAAGATATACGGTATTAATACGGACAATTCTTACGGTATTAGTGCGATTCGCGTACAGATATCCGCTGGTGTATTTATCGACGTTGTAAACATCGACGATAAAACGTAGCTTTTATTATATCCTCCAGGATAATATTAACCTATTCTTTTTCCGAACACGCGAGCTCTCTCTCTCTGAAAACAACGAGTCGAACATTCCGGAATAACAGTTATCCATTTATCAGTCCATCTTGCTCCGTCACGTTTTATGTCTGACATGAAAAAATAGACTCAGATATGTAACAAGAAAATTGAGGAAAACCTTTTTACAAAATTTCCGTATTATCACTCATATCGATGAAAAATACTTCGTGTTTATGCCTGACGTCTTAGACATTTTAGAAACGAACTTGAAAATAGAATGCTGAATTATTTGCCTCTCGGAAAGTTGGATCATAAAGGATTTTCCTGATATAATAGATAAGATATCCCTAATGATGTGTACAAACTAATTTTCTATTAGCAACTGAACAAATATAGCAGACTATACAATTTTAGAATTATTTCTCCTAAAATACAGTAATTTTTCATGGCGAGTGTTTTCGCGCGATGTTTTTTCGCTGACGACACACCGTCAATGATAGTAATTATCTTCTTTAATTAACAATTTATACTCGCTGGTTGACTTTATATTATCGGTAAATATATAGAAAAGGGTACACTTCACCGATTTTTTTCATTTTGAAATATATTATAAAGGATGAAATTCTGAGTGACTTTTCCTGATACAATTATATGGGGGTCGTTTATAGTTTCTGAGATATTTGACTTTAAAGTTTTATAATTGTATGTTAAAGTATATTTGAAGTAGACAAGTAGTTTTCATTCACTTTAAATATAGGAAACAGTATATATAAGCGTGGGAGGGGCTTCGCCCCTCCCCCGCACCCCCTCCCCAAACAAATCCTAACCTAACCTAACTTATTGTATCTTTATATATGTTTGGACATTGTTGAAAAAAGTTCTCTTAAGATCTATCACTTGGCTCAACTTCAATTATTATAATATCTGCATATAATTAGGTGTTGTGGCTTTTAAGGAGATCTTTTCAACATCGCCCAACAATATATAAAGAAAGACGGAGCCCCTCTCCCGCTTATATGTACTATTTCCTGTATTTCTATGTATACACTATGTTTGGATTAATCATTTGGATTGTACTGTAAATAACGTCAACTATGATATCTGGAATTTAACATCAAAATTCCAAAACTTTAAAGTCAAATATCTCGGAAACTATAAGCGACCCCCGTATAATTGTATCAGGAAAAGTCACTCAGAATTTCATCCTTTATAACATATTTCAAAATGAAAGAAACCGGTGAGATGTACCCCTTTCTATATATTTACCATATTATCTGTTTGACCAATCGATTTTCAATAATTTCTCAAAGTCGCGCGACATTTTCGTCCTGACGTCGTCCCGAGTACCCGTCGATATACCCGAATTTTCCGGAGGCTCTCCGAAAGGCAGATCGGTGCGTTCGCGGGATCGCGGATGAAACAATTGAAGACGCAAAAGAAGAGAAAAATGTTTCAGTCGTAAGCGGGTACAAGTAATCGGGAAATTGCGAGTTTCCACGAGGGGAGCCAGAGAAGAAAGCGCTTGGTGTTCTCGCCCTCGGCCGAATCTCGCAGTTGATCGGGAAACTTTGGTCGGGCTACATCCGGGGGTATTCCGCGGTACTCTCTGCGCGGGGCAGTGCGGAATCGGGCAGGTGCTTCCCGGTGCGCTGGGTACTCAGGTGAGCGTGTTTGTTCGCCGTCTGGATAAACACGACGCCACGCCGCCAGCATTCTGCGCCGCTTCTGTCTCTCTTTCTCCCTCCCCCCTCTCTCACGCGCGCGCGCTAATGCGCGGCTTCATTCTGGTCCAGGTTTGCTCGTGTTCGTACTCTCTCGCGACGAAGTGCCGCGACGAAGTTGGCCTTGGTACGCTCGGCTCGCCTGAGTACTCGCCGCGCACATCGAGGGCTGCGATGCGCGTTCTAAGCGCGATCTAAGCCGTGCGTGTGAGGATTAAAGACGGCGGCCATGAAGACGATTTACCGTGCGCGCGTCGCTCTTTCGATCCGATGATGAAATAACGTTAGCGAGATAATCGACTTCGTTAACGATTCATGTCGTCGTCATTGTCGTCGTCGTCATCGTCGTCATCGTCGTCATCATGGTGATGATGATGATGATGACGGTGGAGGTCAGACAGGCCGACCGCGACCCGCCGAGAGACGTTGGCGAAGTAAGCAGAAATAAACGTGCCGAATGGATCGCGGTGGCGAATGCGCGGCGCGACCGGGCAGGCAGAAAGACGGAAACGGCGGTGGACGGAATACCACGTGCACCGCGCGCGACGACTTCCTCTAGCAGCGTACAAACGCGCGTATAACGAAAATAGACGCAGAAGGAAGCGACGACGACCGGAGCGAGGTTTCTCGGACGAGACACGCGGATCCGCGTCCGGGGGACTTTGTTCTGGAGTCTCTTCGGTGGAAATCGAAGCTCGCCAAAGGTCGGAATTCTTGTCGAGACTACCCACGCCTTAGAGTCGTGTCCGCGGTGACAGTATTAATCGATGATCCCAATTAATCGTTTTACGATTGTGTTTTACGTATCAAGAGACACGATGTTGTCTCGCGACTCAAATCTACATGCACAAGCGGCGCGCAGGCTGCGAGGCCAGCCGTGCATATATTTCGTCATACATTGAGATAATTATATGAAACAGGAAAATTGGAAGAGATTTGCTCAACTGTTTTAAATACGATGACGGGTAATACACTCTTGATCAACAAACATGTTGCAATTGCTTATTAATTATACATTTTATTAATATCAATCGCCAATACATTATACAGTGTAACCATTAAAAAATATCAGCCTAAAATATTATATAATACAGTTGTTGTGCGCCTGTGAGTATGTGAGAAAAGGATAAAATAGAATTAACTAAATTGGCTAGGTAATGGTTCAAGCTAATCAAATTAGAGACCGACGAAGTCTCTTCCCGGGTGTTGTAACTGAAAGTTTTTACGTTTAATTAATATGGACTACCGCTCGTAGAATTCATTTTAAATGTTCTTACAATATAAAACGTTTGTTTAAAATAATGTTAATATCGTCATATTAATATAATATTTAATATATCTTGTATGTTTATTTTATGATAAACATAAAATGAGTTCTATTATAATTTTATTATATTACAACAATTTATATCATATAAATATATATAATATATAAATTAAATATATTACATTTTTATATAATATATATATTATCATTATAATATAAATAAATAAGTAATATGAAATAGATACAAGATATATATTTCTTAATAATAACAATAATTGTACTGCAATAATCATATGTAATAACAGAATTAATATCGCAACCGTTAGGCATTAATTATTTCTTGCTTGGGTCAATGTGTTTGGGGTGTTCAAATTTTTATACGTAATTAAATATGAATTTCGTACAAATATGGTACCGGTCTCATAATCCCTGTATGGTCTAAGAGATTTGAAGTTGTT